AACCTCCTGGAGAGTCTGCACGGAGTCTTCAGTATCACAAGGAGGAAGATTTGGAGCCAGTCTTGGCAGAACCTGAAGCCGTGATCGTGGAAATTAAAAACCTGATGTATAAAGCTCTGATCCAAAGACTACGGAAACCAACGGCAATAACACCACTGCTGTGAAATGCTTCAAGGAGGGCGTATGGAGAAAGCCGACAACACCACCGCGGGCTCCAGGTGAGGCAACCCCTGAGCTAACACCACCGGTCCCCAGTCTGCTGGTGTCAGCACCAGTGGCAACCCAGAAACCAGAGAGCGTCTGCTCACAGCCCTTGTCTGGATCTGGTTTAATTTGCAGGCATCTAATTGCAACCACAAGAATCACTTCTGACCTCAAACCAAAGTTACAGTCTAAGGCCATAGTGCTGAAGAGCTGAATCAGATGCAAAAGGGATCAGCAATACAGTGGCAGATCAAGTCTGGATCTGAAACTAAGAAACCTACTTATAAAATATGCATAAAACAGTTATTAACAGTAAAATTGGGTTTGATTACATAGCTTTTTTAACCTTTTAAAAGCGTGACAAAATTAGCAGAGAGCAAGAGTGTGCGTGTGTGTGTGTCTGCTGGAAAGGGCTTCTGTATAATTACAAGCCCTCTGATCAGTATAGCTCTTGGCGCTAGAATATCTGGGGGGGAAAAAACCCCACATTTAAAATATGCTTGGTCTTTCTCAAGTCTTTTTACTACTCTCTGCTTTGTTTGCCTTGCTTAGGAAAACCAGCTGGTATTAATTGCGCTTCGTACACCACCATCATGAACAGCAGCCAGATATCAGAAAATAAAGCCTAATCACAGGAATCCACTCAATTGTTTAGGAAAAAAAAAATAACAATTACTGCTCAGTGTTCGGAAAAGCAGTAAAACGAGAGCAATCAAAAGAAAAGGCAGGAAGGAGGCTGGTGTATGGAGAATGTGATAAAAATACACTACAATCACAGAAGGAGAAACAGAAATCTAGGTTACTTAACAGTAATCAGACTCCTCTAAACATACTGTCCGCCGCAAGCGAAGCTCGGAGATGTCACACGCTCGTGCGGAGCAGGTAGCCCAGGTCTCGGCACGTGCCTGGTGGCAGAGACGGTGCAGAAGTGTCACGTAAGAAGTTAGAGATGGAAGAGATCTGTTCTCTCAGCCTTTTCACCTCTTTTCTCACACTCAGTCTTAAAATTATCCCTTCTGATGTCTTTGCTAGCCTTACTTCAAGTGATTGCTTTACCCGAGTACTGCATGGGAGAAGAGATAAAATTCTGGACCTGGCATAGCTCTCCTTGCCTGAAGCTATGCTGTGAATTGTGTTGAGCTGGGAGGAGGTGGAAAAAAAAGGAGTATTGGGGAAAAAAAATATTGAGATACTGAAAAATACTGAAAAAAAGAATACTGATTTCTCAAAAACCTCATCCTGAAGGGCTGCAAATCAGGAGTCCCAGATGTAGCGCTGGATCTGAGAGAAGCGTTGCCTCTCTCTGACAGCAATTCCTCTCTCTCTAAAATGGGAAAAGAATCAGGTTATTTGCAAAGATTTGCTAAGACTTCTAGTTTAATTGCAAGAAGCATAAAGCCAAAATCTGCTCTTCTGTACGCGTGAGAAAGCAATTTGTTTGTCCCTCTTGTGGGATAAAGACACGGAGGGTGAAGACGATGGGAAGCACAATCACAAGTCAACTGATCTGTCATTTCACGAGCCTTCTCCCCGCGTCGCTTGCCAACTGCAAACATGGAAGGGGCTCGCTTTAATTAATACCGGGTCTCAGCAGACCACTGGAGGCAGTGGCACTTGTTTTCAGGTCATCTGGTCCTAATAGGCTCTCACTGGGAGGTGATTTGTTGCTAACTGACAGCAGAGATCAGTTAATGAGGGCTGAGGCCTTACAATCCAACGTAATGAACCTCAGGGCTGTTTCTATATTATTTGTCATCATCATTTAAAAAAAAAACAACCCGCTTGAGGAGATGCTGGTTATTAATCCAGATATTTACAATATAAAAATCACTCCCTGCTCTGCAGGATTTTCTCTAGGCTGCTCTGCATCGGGAATTGAGCACGCAATAAGCGGTGCTAAGGATTATCAGGACACAAGCTACTCGGTGGTAACACACACATCGGTAGTGTCCCCAACGCTCGTCTACTCGGGGACGTCGGTGCACAGCGACTTCATCTCATTTTCGCACACCCTAAGCGCCATAGCATGCTCCACTTTGGAAGCAGACCTCCTTCCAAGTTCGGGGAGGAAGAAGTATCCAGGAAGGCTGCCGCCCTTCCCCGCTCTCCCAACTACATCAACGGATCTAAGGAAAGCTCCTGCCTCCCCGTAACAATATTCTGACTCTCAGAGCACCAGAGCTACGAAACCACTGCTATTACAGAGCTCACGGTACTCTTCGCACACGCTAAGGGCATCCCAGTGGAAGCCCAGCCCGGTGAGGCCATCGTGGCACTTACACAAGAAAGCAGCAAACACCCTCTCGGCATCCGCACCACTGAAGGAAGATTTCCTCTTGCACAAGCTTGAAATGCTGTAACTACAGAATACTGCGGAATCATTTTTCCTCATGGTGCTTTTAAAACTGTCCCTGTGACGGACAGCCGAGGTGTGCAAGATAACCAGGCACTGGGGCTCCCGCTGGAGATGCATCTGTAAGTTATGTGGACAGATAAATCCCAGCATCGTTTCAGTTTCTGCATTTATTCCAAGCTTGTTGCTCTGTACAGACCACCAGCTCCTTCACCGCCAGGGAGTAAATGGTACAACTAAGGGAAGTACAAACCATCACGGGACAAAGAGCTGATCTACCATCAGCAGACTGATGAGCCGCCCACGTGTCACCAGTGGTGACAGCCACCCTGCAGTAACAGCAGGCCACTGCTGTTCGCCGTAATTTCTTTTATCTACAAGCCTTGGTGTAGTTTTTCACACTGTTTCAGAAAAAGAGTGTTTCTCACAGCACCACTGATGGTCACTTCTGCAGTCTGAACCTATCTTTCTGCTTCAGCTCCTTTGCAGTCAGCCTAGGAGGAACCAGAGATTTTAAAGACCTGCATCAGCTGTCCCAACGTGGACATCTCCGCTCGCCACCCAAGTGGTTTCCTTACCAAAGCCTGTCAGCTTCTCAGGGTGGCAAAACTCTGCCAACATCACTTCTCCGTGTCTCCTGCCCTCTATCTGCCCCTGTTGCCAAAATGGAGAGGAGCATTAATGCCAACAACGTGGAACCAGTCATCATCCCTCTGCTGCAGCTGCGCTGGGGGTTGGAAGGCAGGTTGTAAGCGGCAGCAGCACATCCAGCCGGAGAGCTTTGCTTTACTAATTCGCAAGGCGGAAAAAATTCTGAACTAAGGACCGAGGAGGACAGTCAAGCTCTCCCATGCTACACTGGGAAACAGTGGACAGAGAACGGCTGCCAACCGAAGCGTTGAGGTCGGTGGGGTGGGGACTCGAATTGTACTTCAGCTGCAAAAGCGTGGAGCTGGTGTGGACACATCTTCATGGGGTTATGAAGCGTGGGAGCTCACACCGACGCAAGGCTGGTCTGTGTGCACAGTCTGGGTTAATTCTGCAGTGAAGGGATAATGCAGGTGACACGGAGGAGCAGTACGGCAACCAGTGAGCAAGCCAAGCCAGCAATACGGAAAACTATCAAGCAGAAGCATATCCAATAAAACAGACAGTTTCCACTCAAAACTGCAAGGCACTTCACCAACTCTACGCCCTTTGTTACCACTGGTGCAAAGCTGCCTGGCAGCTGCAGGAGAACAGAGAGATACGCTTTGTGCAGATTTTCTGCTGTCCACGGTGGACATGATGTGCCAAACCTCTCACTGCCAGTTCCCAGCCAGGAGCTCCTGCCTCTGTAGTTCTCCTAACAATCCGCAGCCTGGTCTAGACAAACATTTTACCTTGTAAAGAAATCTAAACGAGCCCATGCAGCTTTTTTTCCAAAGGTGAATTGGGGCCAGTTCCCAGCCAGGAGCTCCTGCCTCTGTAGTTCTCCTAACAATCCGCAGCCTGGTCTAGACAAACATTTTACCTTGTAAAGAAATCTAAACGAGCCCATGCAGCTTTTTTTCCAAAGGTGAATTGGGGAACCTGGGTACAAATGGCGTGGTGAGCAGGCTGACACTGACCTCCTCCCATGGCACAGTCTGTTTGCAGAAAAAATGCCTGGAATAGGATGTCTGTGGCTTGAGAAAAAGGAAAAAAGTCTTGGCCAGAGGAAAAAAAATACAAATTGCTGTGGGATCTTTAATGTTCCAGGAAAAAAGGTACAACCATATGTTTCAGAGGCTTATTTGAAAACCCAATGTAAGAAATAACTTCCATAAGTTGCTCCTGAAAAATGTACCTGCCTCCTTGGGAATTAGCTGACCCTGCTAAAGATGTCAACTTGTGCTTCTGGGGAATCTGAGTATTAAAAGCCCGATGACTGCACCACAAGACCATGACTTCAGCAATGTTAAAAGCTCCTCTCTTGCTTGAACGCCATCCACAGGCGAAAGATGTCATTTCGAGCACTGTGGTTCTTTCAATTCAAGGTGCTGACCCACCAGGAGAGTATCTCCAAAAGCCTGCCTCTGTTCAGCACGTCAGCTGTCACACTATCACTCTGCAGCCTCAAAGTCACTTTTAACTTGGACGAGGCTAATTCACCACGAGTTAATGCACACGTGGATAATCTGAGTTCACCCAGCAGCAAAGCCACCGTGCAGAGACCCAGGCAGTGCACGGTACAGGACGGGCTGGAAGCCATCAGCGGTAGAAGTCTCCTTCTGTTGAAAAGTTTGGGCATGCATGGACAGAGACACCTCACGGTTAAAATATTTTTTGGTTATGTAGACTGAATTCTGTCAATTAAAAGATAAACATGCTTGGCAATTCAAACAAACATCTCAAAAGCACTACAGTACTACTGTAAGGGAGTAGTTAGTAGTGAAATATATAGATATAAAGCGTTACCCACTGCTATTGAGACAGCACTTATGACAGCTCCCAAGTAGCCCTGGATGAACTTGGATGTCGGAGAAGGCTTTGGAAAGAAAAACAAAACATATTTTCAGTAAACAAACTTCTGGTTATTAAAATGCAACCAAGCTTGTTTGTTTGTTTTGTTTTCATTTGTTTTAAAGCAGAGACAGGTTTAATTTTGTCATATTGTTCTGTGACACATGGTCTGTCATCTAGCAGCGGCAAAAGCAAGGAAAATTGTAGCCTCGTGAGCAAGGTTAAAGGGAATGGAAATTAATTGGCATCAGAAAATTATAATAATAGCAGCTTAAAGGAAGTATGTGAATGAAATTCAGCAAATGGTACAAAATTAGCATTCTTATACACTAGTGATGAACCCCAAACTCTCCACATTAAATATTTGTCTTTGAAATGTTATCCCAATGAGCTGGATGGTTTCCAGCTCAGCTTCCCGTCTTGAGCTTCCCACATCCCGACACGGGACGAATGAAGGCTAAAGCAATGGAAGAGAACAGCAACAGCCCCACCACTTCCCGGCACCACTGCTGGTAGCACACATAAAGTCCTCGGGAGACGGCAGCCCGATCATGGAGCCGCTTTGTGCTATCCAAAAACCCAGATACCATTTTGCTTTGTGCTCATTTACCTATCAAATTAAACCATTTCATACCAGTTAGAGCTATATACTGGTTCAGCTCAAAGGCACTGAGCGTTACTTATGTGCCTCAAGTGATTTCGAGATCCTCATGCCATTTACAGCTGAGGTTTAAAATGGAAGTCTACACAGGAGAATGGCCAATCTATAAATTCATCACAGTGCCGACTCCGGAGTTTCTATTAACAGCGAAGAGACAAGACTTATGTTTCCGTGTCAAAACAGACCTAACGCGCTGCACGCGCCGCATATGTTGGGTCTCCTCACCTTTGTCGCGTTGCGGTTTGCATAGTTGACGCAGGCATTGTGGCTCTGATTCAACCACTAAAGAGGAAACAAGAAGAGACAGGCATAAACATAACTTCACAAAAATAAATTAAAAAAAAAAAAAATCTATAAATGTGGGAGTGCAGCGGGAAAACTCATCTCCCTTTGGACCTGCTCACAACTTGCTACCTCTTTTCAAAGGCTCATGCATGCCCTACATCTGATTTAACGCCCTTCAAAGTGAGGGACAGACATCCCAGGGCACCCAGTGCCCAGAGGGCAGCTCTGCTTCCTTGTTCGCTTGACGTGCAACTCTTCTCCCGGCCCAATCCACCTCCACACGACACCTCGGTGCTATTGGTCTTTATTTTCGTCAGCACCAAATCCATACTGCTGTTAAGACGTAGCAGTAAGCCCAGCAGCCATTTTGTCAGTCACTTATTAAGCTCCACGGTTCTCAAACAGAGGGTCATAGGAGGCTTCAGCTGAGGAACAGGAGATGAGCAGATGTGCCACCGTACAGATACGGATGCCACTAAAGTGGTATTTCTGTCCACAACTTTTTGGAGCAGGATTTGTCACCAAAGCAGCGTGGCAGCAGCTGGGGATGAGTAGCACCACACTCCTGAAGGGGTTTTACCCCCAGCAACTGCTGGCAATCTAAAGAAAATTATAGTTTTCATCCCCAAAACACCATGTTCCCAGATCAGAGCGTGTCAGAACTGGACTCCTCTCCAGCTGTGGCCAGAACTAAGATGGAGGAGGAGGAATGAAGTGAGGGTGACGAGAGAGAGTGAAACGAGGCACTAAAACACAGGGATCAGCCCAGTCATTGCCGAGTTCACAACCCAGGAGCATATTTTTCCTGCTGACCAGCTCTCTAGCCTGGAATTTTGGACCTAGCAAACCTCGCTTTTTTGTTTTCTTTAAATAATAGTTAAAAAAAAAAAATTACAAAGCTTGCCAGTATGTGCTGGAAATCTGCCCCAATTTTCCAGATGTGGGTTTTTTTTTAACCCCCACAGCTCATATCTACATTAGCGGGTCCACAGGACCAGGCTAGAGCTAACCTGAAACATGTACATTTTGGACATCAGCAACAACTGCTTCACTGTACAAGCCTGCTCCTATAGGACCCAGTGTTTGTTAATGCAGTAATATGCATCGTCCCTAAATCCTATGCTATTTACCTGGATAAATCTCCTTTTCAGAGAGATGTAGACATACTGCTCAGATATTGTCCTTAATCTAGAGTTTAAGCCGTCTCTAGGTTGAAGACATCCCCACCACCCGTTTCTTGACTCCACCATCTTCCCAGGTGGCCGCCTGACACCCTCCTGGGCTTTCTGGGTGATGCCTCTCTAGATTGCTACTCCTCCTACTTGCATTTTTCAGAAAGGGGCGACCCATGTGCCCATCATGGTGGAGGGAAGAGTTTGAGAACCACTTGTCAAGCGGCAGTGGCTCAGACAGGCTACGACTGCCGGGCTTGCCTGCTACAATTTCCTCCTTGAGCGGGTTCATTTTGGTTCTGCATTTGAAATATTCTTTCTAGTTTTACAAGGATTATTCCGTCCTTTTAAAGCCAAAGGTTTCTCCCAGCTACGCCATGATGGTGGGAATAGGAGCTCCTCATGTAAGCCATTCACAAGGCACCCAGCCCAAGCCAGCTATGCGGGCTGGCTCGCTCCCTACTCACGCAAGAGTAACTTCTCCAAAAGCCAACTCTTTCCATCGTAGATGTCTGAAAACAGGTGAGGCAAGTTGCCTTCAAAAATATGAATGAGTGTCGATGTCTCCAGCCACTATCCCACTCCCAGCAGGTAAAGCCACACAGCACAACTTATAGAATCATAGAATCATTAAGGTTGGAAAAGACCTCTAAGATCATCGAGTCCAACCATTGACCCA